CATATATACGAATATGTATATATATATTCATATATATACATATAAATTGAATATATATGAATATATATACGAATATATACAGATATATACGAGTATATACAATTGAAGGCTTGATCACACCGCTGGACATAGCAGCAGCTTCAGCAGCAACAGCATTAGCAGCAGGAGGAGCCGCAGCAGGAGGAGCAGCAGCAGGAGAGGAGAAGAGGAGGTAAAAGAAATAAAAGAGTTAAATTTTATTGCAAAACTCAGGGTCTAAATGAAGACCTGAGAGAGAGAGGTCGCTCCCTCTAGTCATGAGGCCCGCAATATTTTTAATAGGATTTCCTCGCATTTCTCCTGAGTTGAATTTCGTAGGAACGAATTTTAATTTGAGGGTTTTTAAGTGCTGCAGCAAATAATACAACAATAAAGATAAAACTGCTGAAAGAAGCAACCCTCCTGCAGGTGAAAACAAACAAAATGAAGCAAATATCGTCCCAAACAAATAACATAAAGTTCCTAGCCGAAAAAATACAACAGAGCGATGATATGCAGTCTCCATGACTTCAATAACCTGAAATAAAAAAGACAGACAAACAAAAACAAAAATAATAATGTTTAGTTTATCTTTTAATCTATGTAAAACCATTACATATTAATAAATATAATATAATATATTTACCCTTTATTATTTTATTAAATAATCTTTTTTGTTTGCATAATAAGCAAATAAGCAATTTGTCTTTGCTTCATTTGTCTCTCCTTTCACTGCTCTATGTTTGTTTATCTTTATTTTGAATTTCTTTTTTTTTGTCTGTCTTTGTTTGTTTAACTCCACTTTGAATTTCTTTTTCACACTGTGTCTTAGTTCAGACTCAGTTTTTATTTGTTCTCTTTTTCTACTGTATTCTTCATTTGTATATAATGTCTTTGCAGGTATAAGCAAACGAAATAAAGTAATATCTGTCTACGTTGCTGCTGTTTTATTTTTCAGTTTTCCTCTCGCACAACTCACCACTTTGTACGACTCTTCTCCTTGCCCAGTAAGGGCTTTTCCAGGTCCCCAAACGGTGCAAGTAGTGCATATAACAACAACAATGAAGTTAAGACCGAGGGCTCCTGCTGCTGTAAGGGAGAAGATAAGCTGAAAAATCTCAGGGCCCCCCAGTATGCCCTTCTGTAGCTGTACAACTGTTGAAGCAAAACCCCCAAGAAAAGAAGCAAGTGTTGCAAACTTCTTTAATACGTCCATCCAATACTGCAGCTCCATCTGTCTTAGATTCAAGTTCTGACGCGTGAACGCAGCGATCACGTGGGCCTTGTTTGCCTGCAGCATTTTCCCTCGGAATCACTGAAGCCACCAACCTTGAAAAGCAAACAATAATATAATAAATAATAATTCAAAGAAAAAAAGATATTTGAATGATAAACCTATGCATGCAGGAAACAAACTGGTGGCGGTCTGGTTGATGGATATCCCTGAAACGCCGTGCGTATCCGGAGAAACTTCGCGATAAATTGTATCATTTAAAGCGTATTTTAAAAAGCATTAAATGTTCAAAAAACTAAAAAAGAAAATCTTAAATTTAAAACGAAGAAGCGTAAATTTCACACTTAAAACCTTTGCAATCCACCGCTGGTGTTGGCGGTGGTTCAGGTAAGCCGGTGAGGTGTACATACACCTCAGAGCGATAACAATCTTGTATAATCTTCTGCATGAATTCTTTATTTTAAATCGTTTATTAATACTAAACTAGTCATTTCTTTATTTTAGAAAACTTTTCCACGAGATCGAACAGCATTTAATATTCACTCGTACCCCCTGGCCTACTATCGTGCGCCGTAGAACTCTAAGAGCCCGTAGATTTCGTCAACAAGAATTAAGAATATTGAAATAACATTTGTAAATTAAAAATAAAAATCGTAAAAATATAATATAAGCAAAATAAAATCATACAGATCGACGCCTATAATGTCATTTACCTTCCCATCAGCATCTATATGAATTGTCTACATTACCATCACATACTCTATTAATATGCAAATATTCAATTTCCTGTCCTGTTGTGATGTATGTACAGTTGGAGGTACTACGGTCTACTGCTGTAGAATAGCGTATTAGAAAACAGTACAAATAAAAGTACAGACATATATGTATATATATATATATATGTATATCGGCGCAGCAGATATTTATATGTACGTACATGTGAACATATACGCTATATATTAACGTGTATGTGTGTAACTACGCACATGCATTAAATACACACCATATATATACATATATATATATATATATATAAGTGCATACTACGTAGTAGATTTTCTGATACAAATGGATATAATTAATAGGCGTTTGCTACATTTATGTGCATATTATCCATACACTATATATGTATGAATATTCATATATATAATTATTTATATATAATTTCTATATTTTCTAGTAGGAGCAAAACTCTGCTCGATTTGCATTATATTGAATTAAAATTCAGAACATCAACGCGCCGCCAGCAGCAGCACAACGACATTGAGGTGTATCATCAAAAAAGACAAACAAAATTAACACAACGCCCCACAAGAAGAAGCACCTACGCTTCCGCTGGGGATTCAAATAGCATCTATGCATGCATGCATGCATGCATGCATGCATGCACGTGAATGCGCGTTATTTGCATGCAATATATGCGCGCATGTATTGGTGTTATTTGCATGCATAATATGCATGCCTGCCTAATTTGCATGCATGCATGCACTATATTTACATGCATATTATGCATGCATGCATCCATATTATGCATGCAAGAATGCGTGTTATTTACATGCACAATATATATGCATGCATGTATATTGTGCATGCAAGAATGCGTGTTATTTGAATGCATAGTATGCATGCATGCATAATATATATGCATGCATAATGTATATGCATGCATAATATGCATGCATGCATGCATGCACGCTCACGCTCGGCCGGGTTAGCACAGCCGCGCCGCAAAGGTTAAGCGGCATATTTTGTGAAGTGTTTGTTATTTATCTAATAGGGTTTTATTTAAGGGTTTAGTAGGGTTTAGGGTTTAGGGTTTAGGGTTTAGAGCGCCAGCTGGGCGTTCATACAGTCTAGGCGAGCTTGGAGTGTATCGACAGCTCGGTAGACAGTTAAACTTCTTTTTAGTTTTTTTATTTCTGCCTCAACCTCCCTCCGCGGAGCTCCTTCTAGGCTGTCAATACACCCCAATGCCGCTGCAAGGTCCGCTGCAAACATAAATAAAGAATAACTCACAAACAATACACTGCAGCAGCAGCAGCAGCAGCAGCAAAAGCAGCAGCAGCAACGGCAGCAGCCAAAGCAGCTCGCACAGCAGCAACAACAGAAGGAACGCAGCTACAGCAGAAACGCCTAGCAGCAACAACAGCAACTGCAGCAACAGCAACAACAACAGCAGCAGCAACAGCAGCAACAACAACAACAGCAGCAGCAGCAGCATACCGTTGTTTGCATGCATTCGGGCCTGATGAAGCGCCCGTAGGTTTCTAGCGATGCGCTGCATTTCACTTGTTTTATTTTGATTAATTTCTTCTTCAAGATATGAACAAAGAGAAGGTGAATAGGGCGAAACAGAGTAAAAGAAACCCAACACAAAACTAAACAAAGCCGATAAAACGCCGCCCCCCTCAATTATAAACGCAGCTCGCGCACTGCGATCGACAACTTTCTGCAGTTCTTCCTAAATAAAACAAAAAGAATATATACATATATATAAATATAAATAAATATATAAATAAATATATATATATATACATATATATATATTGATATATATAACAATTAAAACAAATATATACAAGCAAACAAGTAAAAAATTATTAAAAGAATTAAAAAGAAGAAATAGACAGCGGTAGAAACGCCGCTGTTAAATAACAAATTAAATAATAAACAACATTTAAATTATATCAACTAAACAATAACTAATAATAATAATAATATGCAGCGAAAACAATAATAACGCCTTATTGTAAATAATAAAAACAAAGACAGAAAATCAAAGACAGCGGAAATGCCAGTGATAGCAAAACGAGAAAAATCAACATGTTTACATTTTATACAATATTCTAATATATATATATACAAATATAATATATATATATATATATCTATACATATATATATATATATACGTATGTATATATTATATATATTATATATACTATATAATATATATAATATATATATATATATACATACAAATAAATGAATGTATATAAATATACGCTAAATTACATATATATAATCTATATAAACATACTTTTAGATGCATATATATATATATATATATACATACAAATATACATTATGTATATAGATGAACGTCAATAAACAAACAAACAAACAAACAAACATAAATAAATAAATAAATAAATAAAAGAGTAAAACCTACAAGAGCAGCTGATGCGGGGAGAAGCGGCTGTTTATCTAAATCGGCGAGGAGAGGCCTCAACGAAGAAATTACAGAAAAAACAACGAAGTCGTCATCTGCAATCTTTATGAAGACAAATAAACAAATTAATTAATTAATAATAAATAAATTAAATTAAATTAATTAATTAGTATGTAAATATATAAATAAATAAATAAATAAATAAAACAAATAAAACAAAGCAACGACAAGCAAACAAAGCAAACAACAAAAGAAAAAAAGAGCACAACAAACGAATAGACAAAGTAATGAAGAAATAAACAAACAAACAAATAAACAAATAAACAAACAAACAAATGAGCAAATAAACAAACAAATAAACAAATAAAGAAATAAATAAATAAATAAACAAACCTCTTGAAGTTCTCTCAATGAAGGCCCCACAGGAAGCTGCCTATACACCGCAGAGTTTAGAGAAGACAGCGCAGCGCCCAGACGAGAAGAAAGTAAAGCGCCATTAAGACGACTAACAAGACCCCCAAACGCCTGCACGCAACAAACCCTAAACCCTAAACCCTAAACCCTAAACACCTAATCCTACGCCCTGTGCTAATCACACTAAGCCCCAAAACCCTAAACCCTAAACCCTAAACCGTGAACAACAGAATAATAAAGAAGATTAAAGCGGAGAGAGAGAGAGAGAAAGTGAGAGAGAGAGAGAGAGTGAGACCAGAACACGGCGAGGGTTTAGGGTTTAGGGTTTAGGGTTTACCTGCTGCATGTCATCAACCTTCTCTTCTAACAAATGAATTTTTTCTTCTGTCTCTGCACCCCACTCCTTCATTTGCTGCTGCTGATTAAACAACTCTAAACTACGTGCCTCTACTAGAGACACCGCAGCCTTCGCCTGCAGCAAACACCTAAACCCTAAACCCTAAACCCTAAACCCTAAACCCTAAATCGTTGCTCCTTCGGTGCAGCTCGCTGAGAAAAATCCACAGTATACGCCCCATACCCTAAACCCTAAACCCTCAACCCTAAACCCTAAATTCTAAACCGTAGTTTACCTGGGCCTCCAGAGCCTCTTTTGCTTCTTGTCTCAGCTGTTTGAATTAAAACAAAAGCACACAGACAAAAACAAAAAAAAGAATTCCTTTTGTGTTTGTTTGTTTGTTTTATTTAAATAAACAAATAAAAATGTTTGAGAGAAATAAACAACGCCAAACAAATGCAGTAAAACGATGTAAAAAGAAACAAGCACAGAATATATATATATTATTATCTATATATATATATAATATGCATATATATATAGATTAAATATATATACATTATATATAATATTCCTATATATCGACTCAGCGAAGACAACATATACACAAAACAAACAAAAACAAACAAAAAACAAAATAAATGAAGACAAAAACAAACAAAAAAGAAAAAGCAAAGGCAAATGCATGCAAACAAACAGAAACACAAAAAAAGACAGAAACAAATAAACAAATAAAGACAAACAAAACAAATAAAATAAAATAAAAACAAACAAAACTAAGACAAGCAAAACAAAGAAAATAAAACAAATAAAATAAAACAAATAAACAAAGCAAAGACAAACAAAACAAATAAACAAAACAAAAACAAACAAACAAAGACAAACAAATAAAATAGACAAATAAAATAAACAAATAAAATAAACAAATAAAATGAAACAAAGAAAATAAAACAAAGACAAACAAAACAAAGAAAATAAAACAAGTAAAACAAAGAAACAAAACAAAGAAACAAAACAAAGAAAATAAAACAAAGAAGGTTATCGAGCAGACAAACTTTGAGAGTGAGTGTTTGCTTGAGAGCAGCAATTTCTTTTTCTTTGTCTTTGTCTTTTTCTTCTTTATCTTTTATTAATTTATTTAAAAGTAAAAGCTGCTGCACAGCTCTCTCATGAATGCCTTCAGCAGACAAACCCTCAAACTCCTTCAACTCTGCAGCAGCAGCAGCAGCAGCAGCAGCAGCAGCAGCAACAGCAGCAACAAAAACAAAATAAATACATTAAAATAAATTAAAATTTAAGAAAATAAACACGAAATAAATAAAAATAAATAAAAACAACGCCTTGATCTTCTCCCCCTTCTTTTTATTCTTTTCTCTCTGTCTCTGTCCTCTCATATATATATAATGTATATATATAATGTAATATATATAATATATACATATATATAATATATATAATATATGTATAATATATATACAACATATTAAATATAGTAGATATACTTTATATATGTATACAATACACGCTACAAATATATATATATATATATGTATGTATATATATATATATATATGTACATATGTACATATATAACTATATACATACTGATGCATTAATATATAATATATATATATTATATTATATATAGAGATATCTATACGAATTTGCAGGAGGCGCAAGCGGAGCAAATGCAGTTTTAAACAAAATAAATAAATAAATAAATAAAATAAAAAATAAACAACAAGACATAAAAAACACACCCTCAGGGCTTGCTGCAGAAGACAAAGCTGCTTCACCTGCTTCTGCTGCTACTGCTGCTGTTGCTGCTGTCGCTGCTGCTGCTGCTGCTGCTGCTGCTGCTGCTGCTGTGCTTGACGCAGCTTCTTCCCCATCTTCCCCCTGCGGCTGCTCCTCGTGCTGCTGCTGCTCCTTCTGTTGCTGTTTCTGCTGTTCGTGTTCGTATTCCTGCTGCTGTTGCTCCTGTTCATCCTCGCCCTGCTGCTGCTGCTGCTGCTGCTGCTGCTCGTGCAGCCGTCGTTCTTCGTACTCGTGGAGGGCCCTACGCAGAGCCTGGCCCTTCGTTTCTAGAGGAGCCTTCTCTGCTGCTGCTGCTGCTGCTGCATCCGTTGCTGCTGTTGCTGATGCTGCTGCAGCCTCTGTTGCTGCTTCTGTTGCATGCGCTGCTGCTGCTACATCCTCCACTGATGCGGCTTCATCTTCGTGTTCTGCTGCTGCTGCTGCTGCTGCTGCTGCTGCTGCTGCTGCTGCTGCGTTTGCCTCTGCTGCTTCTGCTGCTTTCTCTGCTTCGATTGCTGCTCTCCGTCCTGCTGCTGCTGCATCTGCTGCTGCTGCTGCATCTGCTACTATTGCAATTGTTGCTGCTGCATCTGCTGCTGCTGCTGCATCTGCTGCTGCTGCACTTGCTGCTGCTTTTGTATGGTTCCATGCCTCTGCTGCTGCTGTTGCTGCTGCTGCTGGACTTGTAAGAATTCTGTTTGTGATTGGGTTGTGTTGCTGCTGCGTGTCTTCAAGTGCAGCAGCAGCAGCGACAGCTGTAGCAGCAGCAGCAGCTGCTGCTGCTAGGTATTTGAAGCGACGCTTCGCTCTGCCTTTCGTTGGGGCCCCTCCTCCCTTTCCTGCTGCTGCTGCTGCTGCTGTTTCTGCTGCTGCTGAGGACCCTGGCGCAGCTGCACGAGCAGCAGGAGGGTCAGTGGAGGACGAAGCCTGCTTCGGCAGCTGCTGCTGCTTGCTGTCTGCAGCAGCAGCAGCAGAAGGAGCAGCAGCTGCTCTTTTTTGTGCTTCTAATACCCCCTGCCCTTGCGTCTTCGAATCCGTAGTAAAAACTCTCCTCTTAGTTCTCATGCTGTCTCTGTAAGGCCCCAAGTGGAGGCAGACGGGGCCCCCAAGGGGCCCCTTCATGGGGATAAACCCCTTAAAGGGGCCCCCAGAGGGGCCCCCAGAGAGGCCCCTAGAGAGGCCCCTAGAGGGGTCCTTAGAGGGGCCCCTACAGGGGCCACCCAGGGGGCCCAAGGGACCCTTTGAGGGGCCCCCCAGGGGCCCCACTGGGCCCGTAGAGGGGCCCGTAGAGGGGCCCCCCAGGGGGCCCGGGGGGCCCCCCGAGAGGCGTTTAGTGGGGCCCCCTGGTGTAGAGAATATGAAACAGCGGGGGGAGAGAGAAGCCCAGAGGGGCCCCTGAAGAGGCTGCAGACGCAATGAGCCGAGGTGGCTTGCAGCTGCTGCTGAGGGGGGCCCCCAGACCATAGTTGATTGGGTAGAAGGGGGGCCCCCTATAGAAAAGAGAGCGTATGTTTGAGGTGTACAGACAGCTGAGACAGCAAGGAAGAGGAATGCATGCACAGATAAACAGCTAAAAGGGTTTAGGGTTTAGGGTTTAGGGTTTTTCTAATATTTATTACTTCAGAAGACGCAGAGCTGCAGCAAACAAAGAACACAGAAGCCCCAGGGCGATTGGCGGTAAAAGAGTTAAAAAGTTAAAGAAGTAGTTTGTCTGTCTTCTTGTCTATATATCTTTCTTTTTTGTTTTGTTTAATCTATTAATATATCTATTTCTTTGTTTTTATTTATTTCCTTCTTCTTCTTTTTATTGAACTAATGCTGCAGCCTCTTACTCTCCTCCAGACCCCTTTCAGGTGTACGTACACCGCAGAGGGGGGCGGCGAGTTAGCTGAGGCCCCTACCGCGCTGCAGCAGCAAAATAATAAAAATATAATAATAGAATAATTAATATTATATTATAACTCTAGCTGAAAACATATACGCAAGAAGAAATATTTGCTGCACAGCATTCACCCAAGACAACCACCACAATATATCTGTCCTTCAGCGCAGCGGCTTTAGGGTTTAGGGTGTATCCCTAGGGTTTAGGGTTTAGGGTTTAGTGTGTACGGTTGTGGTTTACGGTTTACGGTGTACGGGTAGGGTTTAAGGTTTAGTGTGTACGGCCGTGGTCGAGGGTTTAGGGTGTACGGCTAGGGTTTAGGGTTGAGTGTGTACGGCTAGGGTTTAGTGTGTACGGTCAGGGTTTAGGGTTTAGTGTGTACAGCCTGGATTTAGGGTATAGGGTGTACGGCTAGGGTTTAGGGTTTAGTGTGTACGACGAAGGTTTAGGGTGTACGGTCAGGGTTTAGGGTTTAGTGTGTATGGCGAGGGTTTAGGGTTTAGTGTGTACGGTTAGGGTTTAGGGTTTAGTGTGTACGGCGAGGATTTAGGGTTTAGTGTTTGCTGATGGTCTAGTTTTAGGGTTTAGGGTTTAGGGTTTTAGTGTTCTGTGGTGGAGGCGACAGCATAAGATGCTGCAACCCCTTCATTTTGTAGTCAGTATTAATTTTATTTCTTTCTTCTTCTTTTACTCTCCAGCAGCGGAGCTTAATAACAATTATCTGCAGCAGTGCTGCATGCATCTCTACCCGTACTCGGACCCCAGCAGCTGCAGCAACAGCAGCAGCAGCTGCAGTAGCAGCAGCAGCCGTAAACACTACGAAACCCCAAACCCTAGAGCCTATAAAACCCTTAACCCTAAACCCTATAAAGGCCCCAAACCCTGAATGCTAGGAAGCCCCTCAAACCCTAAACCCTCGCCTAGTCAGTTCCGGCGTCAGGTGCTCAACGAAAAATGAGGGTTTAGGGTTTAGAAAGGAGCTGCGCTAAGGTTGAGGACAGAACGTGGCGAGGGTTTAGGGTTTAGGGTTTGTGCTTTGAGGCGGCTCGCAAGCCGCCTCAAAGCACAAACCCTAAACCCTAAACCCTCGCCACTATGCTGGCTGTGCAGCATAATGAATAAAATATTGTCCACAGCCTCTTTGCATGCGTTCAACCAAACAAAACCCCAGAAAGAAAAACAATATTGCTAAAGCTGATTGAGATATACGGGTTGTACGGTGCAGCATGCAGCAGCTGTACATACACCCCAAGACCACCCCATCAGCAGCAGCAGATTCTTTTATTATATTTTTAATTTATTTATTTGCTTCTGGATTTAATATCTCCGTATTTAGAGGAGGAGATGGCTGACCTTCTACATATTTAATTGATAAAGAATTCACGCAGTGCCGCTCGTTCGTCGAAGTCAGCCTGCAGGGACAAACCCTAAACCCTCATCAAACCCTAAACCCTCATCAAACCCTAAACCCTCAACGAACCCTGAACCACCCCCTCCACCAAAAAATGCGTAGACAGTGCTGGGCCTGTGTCGTCAGCAGCTTCACAAAAAACAACAAGTGGCGGTTAGAGTTTAGAGTTTATTAGGGTTTATTAGGGTTTATTAGGGTTTATTAGGGTTTAGGGTTTAAACAGACCCTTCGCCGTTGAAGACGTGGCCTAAATGGCCGCCGCATGAATTGCAGATTATCTCCCAGCGCCGCATTCCTCCACTCACGTCCAACACAGCTTTCACTTTGCCTGATCCACTCAAACCCTAAACCCTAAACCCTAAACCCTAAACCCTAACCTGATGAAGACATGCGCTCTTTCTCTGGCCGTTTCAAACCCTAAACCCTAAACCCTAGACTGAGGTGAGTGCATCTGATGAAGGTATGCGCTCTTTTTTTGGCCTTTTCAAACCCTAAACCCTAAACCCTAAACCCTAAAACGCAGCCAATCGTAACAATGCCTAGAGGCCTCTTCATTCGTATCTGTCGTTTGATGATGCGCCTGCAGGTCTACCACCACGAATACCCAAGGGAGCGGCAGAGTGTATAAGGAATTATTTAGGGTTTAGGGTTTATAAGGGTTTAGGGTTTATGAGGGTTTAGGGTTTATTAGGCGCACCTTCATAGGCCCTATCAAACGCAGGCCAACCGCAGCCTGACTTGAACTTGCTGCTTGCAGGGAAGAGAGGTGAGAGACACCCGCGGCAAACAAAGAAGCCCGAAGAAGGATAGACGCTGTTATATTCTCCTGCATGCAAAGATAAAAGTACAGCACTTCTTATTCAAATTCAACGCAAGCGCTGCAGTACAGGGGAGACAGGGTTTAGGGTTTAGGCCTTGTTGCCTAGGGCTAGGGTTTAGGGTTTATTAGGGGTTAACGTTTAGTAAAGCTTACCACTCCATGGGGGCTCCGTCGCCTTCTCTCTAAGCACCCGATACTCCTCGCCTGAGGGAAAAGACGCAAAAATATAAGTAATTTGTATGCTGTTTATAGACAGAGGTATTATTAAAACAAATGCTGCATGCACTTGCACGCATACTACTGATTGCAAATTCATTTTAAAAGTTATATTAATTATTATAATATATATACATACATATTTTTATATTTATATATTGTCGAATATACACTTGGAATTCGTACAAGTGCCGCACAACTCAGTAACGTAGTAAGCATTATTCTTAGAGGAGAGTTTCTGTCTCGAACTAATAGCCGTTCTCTTCATTATTTCTCTGCTGTTTCTGTTTTACTGCCTCTGTCCACTAACAGAATTTTAAAATGTCTTTTCAAGCAACACAACAGATATGGATTCTTAAGGCATTTCTTTATCTGCATGCATGCATGTTTGTGTTGTACAAGAGGGGCTAATAATGGTAATATTGGTGCTTTCTTTCTCTGAAACGAGTAAAAAGAAGAAAATAAACAAACAAATCCCTCGGTGAGGCTCCGTACGAGTCAAAATCTGACGCCATTCTTCGTCGGTCTTCTGCTGAAAAGTTGAAGTGGTCATGGCTGCTGCCGTTGAGAATGCTGAGGGAAAGAAGAATAAATGAGAAAGAAAAAACAATTAAAAACAAAAAACCAAGGAAAAAAGACACGTTTTAATGTATTTAAGCATAGATATCTCAACTTTTCCTACGTAACAACAACACCAACAATAAAGCGAAGGAAACTGTAAAAGGATCTGCGCATACACCTGAAGATATTGAAGAAAATTTCAACAAAATAAAGAATATAATTCATATTTAATGTATGATCACTTGAATATATATATATATATATATATATATATATTCATGTATATATATGTGTGTTATTGCAGTGTGTGTTTCCTTGCCTGGGTAGCAGGGTCTGCAGAGTGTTGGCCTTAGTAGAGAGTTTAAAGATGAACTTTTTTGAAGAAAACAAAGAGAGGAAATCCTGGAGGCTAAGAAGAGAGAAAAAGAAGAACAGAGTAAACGCATCGCTCGATCCGCCTACATAGAAGAGGTATCGGCGGTGTTGTCTTTGCAGCTGCTAGGCATTCAGAAGTATTAAAATGGGTTCAAACAGAAGAAAAAACAAAGAAAAGCAGAAAATAAACAAATTAAAACGCTAAATCTTTTACTTCTATCTGGAATATACCTCCTATATAGAACGACTAGCGGCTATGATATAATACAAGGACGGGGCTTTCTAAGAGAAGCTGCTGTGTGTGGCTCTAATCTCCTCATCCTTCAGCAAAAGAAAGGTTAAATTACATTTGTTTTATTGATCATTAATGCAGAACAAATGCATAAATATCTTCTCCAGGGCCTACACAAGCAGGTCTCGCTTAGCCTGTTCAGCGCTGTTTACTGACGGGCGTTTGAAAATGAAAACAGGTGTTGTTTACTAGCGCTTGTTTGTTGTTATAGATCGCTGATCTTAATGCAGCCACCTTCATTTAAAGCGCATTTCTTCATCCAATACTTGTAGAGCCCTGTGTGTTTAGAGAGTGAGACAGAAGACTTTATTTTGTCTGCTTTCTTTGTCTTCCTTTTCTGAATATCTGCAGCTGCGCATCACTTCGATTGCATCGTCTTGGGTGCCGGAAGCGGAGGCATCGCATTCGCAAGAAGAGCGGCAAATTATGGAGCGAAAGTCGCAATAGTTGAACACAGCCGAATGGGCGGCACCTGCGTTAACGTGGGTTGTGTGCCAAAGAAGGTGAATATGCAAGATCTTCAACGCAAATAAACGAAATTTGAACGATCTTTCAAATATTTAAAATATGTTTACTTCATTTGTGCCTTTTACTACACATCGGATAAATTAAACCCGCATTTCCACACTGATCGCCTTCGCGTGTTTCGGGTGTATCTGCAGGTCATGTGGTGCGCTGCAAACGCCTTCGAAAACTTGCACGGTTTAAAACATTTGGGTTTTGAATTTAATGAGCCTCCTCGTTTTAACTGGGAACGTCTTGTGGAAAACCGCGAGAATTACATCAAAAGATTAAACCGTATTTATGAAACAAACCTTGAAAAGTCCCAAGTTGAGCGTTTCTACGGATGGGCGAGTCTTGCCCCCAAGGATGAATCTAAAGACGAGCATGTCGTCCTTGTAAATGCGACAAAAGAAGAGGCAGAAAAAGGCTCACCACCTATTCAGAAAATAACAGCGAAACACGTCCTTGTTGCAACCGGTGCGAGCTTCTATTTCCTGAAGAATAAATGCATGAAATGCTCCAAAATGCTCCCAAAGCAGCCAAACCCAATGAAGTTTGTTTCCGTTTTCCCCCGTCTTTTTTCCTCTTTTTGACGCTCCAACACCCCCTTAGGCCATGCCTAGTTGATTATTTCAACCGAATTACCCCCCTACGATTCCTTTTAGTGGGTCATGCTCTGTGCGTCTTCTTTAGGCGGCCGTCCGACTCCCCTATCCATCCCTGGGGCGTCGTTATGTACAGATAGCGATGGCTTCTTTGGCTTAAAACATCAGCCAAAACGCGTAGGCGTCGTAGGCGCGGGTTATATTGCAGTTGAACTCTGTGGAGTTTTGCAAGCGCTGGGAACGGAGACTCATTTGTTCACCCGACACGCCCGCTCCCTCCGGAAGTTTGATGTCATGATTCAAGAAGAAAACCATAAGAACATGCAGCGGCTAGGTATACAGGTGGGTAGGCTCTAATTGCGGCGTATGGGCACCTGCCTTAGCAGAAACAACCCGCAACACGAGCTAATGTCTTACAGTTTGCCTTTCGAGCGCTGGAGTTTAGGGTATAGTACGAGGACAGGCAGCTTACAGCAGCTACAGCAGCAGCTGCTGCTACGTCGCTTCTGTTGAGATATGAATCTGTGGGTGCAGCATCTTCTGAAGTGTCTGTACACTGGAGGCGTTGCATGCGTTCTTTCAGGTATTCCCCAACAGCATTCCGTCAGAAATTGTTCAAAGTGAAGGATCTCTACATTTACACTTGGAGAACGGCGAGCGCCACGGCCCCTTTGACTGTATAATTAATGCAATTGGACGTACACCCGAAACGCTGCATTTGGGGTTAGAGGCGCTGGCAGTTCAAATGAACGGCAAATATATCAAAGTTGATGAATATCAAAACACAAATGTACCGGGGCTCTTCGCTCTAGGAGACTGCTGCGGAAAGGCAAGCACCACCGAATTGCATGCATGTATGCATGCATGCATCGAATTGCATGCATTTAGATTATCTTGCAGAGTCAGAGGGAAAGGCAGGAAGTGCAGTGTACAAAGAGTTGCCTTCGCGTTTTTATTGGGCTGTATATGGCCCCTTTAAGAAGTCTTAGGGTTTACGGTCTAGGGTTTAGGGTTTAGGGTTTAGGGTTTGTGGTTTGTAACAGGTGGAGTTGACTCCAATGGCTATAGCTGCAGGACGCCGGCTGGCAGACCGACTGTATGGGCAGCTGCCGCATGCAAAGGCAGATTATGATTTTGTTCCCTCTGTTATTTTTGCTCATCCTCCAATTGCCTCCGTTGGCCTCTCTGAAGATCAGGCAGTGCAGCAGTACGGCAGGGAAGACCTCAAGGTACCCCTAAACCCTAAACCCTAAACCCTAAACCCTAACATGCAGTTCTATCTCTCCTGTGGACTTGTCGCTGGCGTTGCAGCAGTCGGGGATAATTTTCTGCTGCTATGCATGCGTGGTTCTGCTGCAGCTGCTGCTCCATGTGCTGCAGCTGCTGTGTGTGCTGCTGCTGCTTGTGCTGCTGCTGCTTTAGCTGCTGCTTCACTTGCTTTGTTGTTGTGTTGGTGCTTTAGATATACGAGGGTAGCTGCGTTAATTTATTCTACGGCGCCTTCCCGATACCCCCGGAGGAAAAACCCAAAACTAAAATTAAACTTATTTGCAGAAAGGCAAGCAGAAAGTCAGAGAAAGAAAAGATCTTGGGGCTGCATTTAATTCTTTATTTTTTGTTGCATTTATATTACTCGTTATTATTATTATTATTAACAATTTATTATTGTTTTATTTGTTATTCTGCATGCATGCAGTCAGAGAAAGAAAAGATATTGGCGCTGCATTTAATTCTTTATTTTTTGTTGCATTTATATTACTCGTTATTACTATTATTAGTTTATTATTCTTTTTATTTATTATTCTGCATGCATGCAGTCAGAGAAAGACAAGATATTGGAGCTGCATTTAATTCTTCATTTTTAGTTGCATTTATATTATTCGTTAATATTATTATTATTATTATTATTAATTTATTATTTTTTTATTTGTTATTCTGCATGCATGCAGTCAGAGAAAGAAAAGATCTTGGGGCTGCATTTAGTTGGATTGGGCGTAGACGAAGTTCTCCAGGGATTCGCAGTGGCAATTAAAATGGTAATAGATTTTGTTTGTTTATATTAATGCTTTTTTATATTTTATTATTTAATAATATATAGATATTTGTGTATATTATATATATAATTTCTGCAATATATATATATATATATATATATTTATTTTGTATATCGGATATACTTTAAATAGTATTTCTCGTTTTGTATTTGTGTTCATATTTATTATAAAGAATAATTATTATATTATACTGTTATAATTGTGTCTTATCTTGCTGCTTTCTTTGTGTTTTTCCGTTTCTTATTTATCTTTGATGCATTAATATACCCTATTTAGTAAATAATTATATTTATATTTATATTCATTATTGCGAATATGTCTTGCTGATTTCTCTGTCTTTGTTTGTTTCTTCAGGGAGCTACAAAAGCAGACTTAGACCGATGCGTAGCAATACACCCCACAGCAGCAGAAGAAGTTGTTACGCTGCCGCCTTGGGGCTTGAGCGACCTCTAAACCCTAAACCCTAAACCCTAGCAACACATTTGTATACCCTCGCTTATTAAACCCTCTTCCCTCCTTTTCTTGCTAAACTGGCAACGACAACAACTCCAAAGAAAATCAATCTATACGCAAACGCTAAACCCTAAAACCCTAAACCCCAAACCCTAAAATCCTAAACCATCAACCCTACCCCCACCCCCCAAACCCTAAACCCTAGACGCTAAGCACTAAACCCTTAGGATTGGTTTGAAGGGCCGCAAGCGGAGTTCTTCGCTTGCAAAAGCAAAAGAAAAGAAAATTAATGATAGACCCTCACACACCTACACGTACACCCAACAACAACCAACTTTACCGCCCACCAAAGTTTGCAGTATTCACACAGCCAGCGACACTCCACTGCACCAACTAACGCTAATAATAATAATATATATACATATATATATATATATATACATACACTTGAAACCATGAATGGGCCTATATATCAACTCGGGCCCCAGGAGGAGGGCCCACAATGACATCTATAAATATATATATGTATATAAATATATATAATATATATTATATATTTATATATATACATATATATGCACGCACACATACATGCGTGGTTGTTTATATGGTTGGTGCCGCATCTGCGGCGACTCTAAATAATAAATAAACACATCTACATACACGTATAAATGTAAAGTAATAATAATAATAATAATATTAATTATTATTATTACTTACTAAATGCATGCATGCTAGGTGAACGTACACTGCGGGGAGAGCTGCCTCAATGCATTGGGGTGCATGCAGAGTTTGGTGTATGCAATTCGTTAAAACAAATATCAATAAAAGATATATATATTTATATATATAAATATATATAAATATATAAGTATATAAATATATAAATATATAAACATAATTAATAAAAGAAAAATGCAATTCTTTTAAAGACTGCAAATATATCACACATATATATTGCATTCATACATACACCCAACTGGGGTGTACGTACAGTTAGCTACAAAACTTAAGAACTCCTGCTCCGCCTGTTTGCGGCCTTGGAGTAATAATAAATGAAATAATACATCAAGACGAAATAAATCTAAATTAAAAGAAATATATATATACATATATATACATATATATGTATATATAGATATATATGTACATATATATATATATATATATATTATATATATTATATATGTATGTACATATATATCTATTATAAATATGCCAGCATAAGCTCGGCAATATAAATGCATGCATACAAACAACCCCGTGCAGGCCTCGCCGTTGGTTGCTGCAGTGTACGTACACTCCAATGCAGCTAAAGAAGACAAGCAAGAGAAAGATAAATAAAGATAAGCATC